CCTAAACAACAAAATCCTTTATAGGGAAACAATGTTAGTGCTTACAATAAATTCACTTTATCTTGTTCTCACACATTTAAAGGCAAAGTGAAATCTTACAACGTATGAACCCTTTATTGTATTACTCATGTATAATGTGTTTTCAGAGTTAGGCATGGTTTTTAAAGCAATGGGTATATGATATTGCCCAATTAATTTGTGAATGCACTATTCTCTTACCTTACAGATAGCAGTTCGCATTCCTAACTGTTTGGAACATGAACCACCTCAAAGACCAGGCAGTGGAGATATTTGCTCATACCTTGTAGAAAGTTGGATGTATGTGAGGTTCATTTGGCGTGTTAGGGGAGAGTTGGATAGAATTAACAAATTAATGTTTATAATGTGTTTTAGGGGCCTTGGTTATTTTGGCTAGGATTGCATCTGGGCTAAATTTTGTTATAAGGTTATCAGATTACTGTACATGAGCTACCAGTTGAGATGCTCAAACTGCTTCTGGCGTCTTCTATTTACTTATTTAATTGTTTGTATTGTATACAGCTGTGCTGCTGTATGTGGACATGTTTGTTAATTTTCTCACCCACAGGACCCCAGTGACAGGATTGTGTAACACTGACTCACAATACATCACTCACATCCACAACACGTCCACTCACAGGAGCCCAGTGACAGGATTGTGTAACACTGACTCACAATACATCACTCACATCCACAACACGTCCACTCACAGGAGCCCCGTTACAGGATTGTGTAACACTGACTTACGATACATCACTCACATCCACAACACGTCCACTCACAGGAGCCCCGTTACAGGATTGTGTAACACTGACTTACGATACATCACTCACATCCACAACACGTCCACTCACAGGACCCCAGTGACAGGATTGTGTAACACACTGACTCACAATACATCACTCACATCCACAACACATCCACTCACAGGAGCCCAGTGACAGGATTGTGTAACACTGACTCACAATACATCACTCACATCCACAACACGTCCACTCACAGGAGCCCAGTGACAGGATTGTGTAACACTGACTCACAATACATCACTCACATCCACATCACGAAATATTGTTCTGTCTTTTGTAAACAAACATGTGGTGTTTATCCACCAGCCTTTTCTTTCTGTTGGTGGTAACTGTGTATGACATAGACTTCTGTTACTGCTGCTTCTGTACTATGCATTAGAGGAATGTACTGTATATTCACTTGCTAATTTAATGTTTGTCATAATCTTTATTCACAGAAACGCAGTACATATAGCTATTTGTGTATGGATAAATAATATATAATATGCAGGTGTGCATTCTTCCATTTCATTCGGGTAGGGATTATTTAATTTTTGCACTCTTTCTGTTGCAAATTATAGGAGCCTGCTGTTCAGGAATTTAAATGTTGTTTATGAATCATGTGCTTCCAGGTTTGTGAAATGCATCATATTCCTTCTCAGGCCATACATGTGGTCAAGGTATAGAAGGGTTTTTATGTATAAATTCATATAATGCAAATGAGAAAGAGAAAAGTCATAAACTAAACAATAAACGTGTGGCTTAGATTTAACCTTAGTGGAAGGACTGGGAATGTATACCATGAATGGCTTGCACCATGGGAAATGTAGTTTAGAAAAATCTAAGTAACTTATGTTCTTCTTTTTTTTTTTTTGTAAATGTTTTTATTGTCAAGTTTTTCAAGTAAGAATTGCGAAACGGAGTTGGGACGCGCAGTTCCCCATAGAAGAAACATTGTGTGATGAGGCACGCGGGCCTCCACTTTTTCTGGATAGGCTTTATATTAGACTCGCAGGTCTCTGGTGATTAAACATTATGGTATCTACCTGGGACTCGCAGGTCCCTTCTGGTGGCTTAGATACATACATTGAAACTGTGCTGCGTATTTATGTCTGCGGATAATCCGGTCATAAGCTGGTAGTTTGCTTGAGGTGGTAGTCCTGTTTCTACCCAAGTTGGTGTTTGGTTGATGGGGTAGGGTTCGTAGCACCATAGTGGGGAAAGTGGGAGGGGCGGTGGGGAGTGGGGGACCGACACTGTCTTGTGTGGTCCTGAGCGTCAGGGTGAGAGGTGTTTGTTGTTGAGTGGGCTGTCGTTTGCGTTATCCGTTTGAGTATTGACCCTCTAGTATCTTGTGGGTCCGTGTGCGGGGAAGGTATTGTGTGATGGGGTTAGGGTATCTGTTCGCTTTCTCGCCCTCTCCTCTTTGTCTGGTAGTGGGGGGGCTTACTGATGTCAACTACAGTCATTTAGTTTGTCTGCGAATTCCTCTCCTGCCGTTGTCAGTATCCAATGTGTCCATGTGTCAAGATATTGTTGTTCTGTCAAAGGATTTCATGTGTATATCTTCTGTCTCCCTTAGTTCTTCCATTTGAGTAAACCATTTGTCTAGTGTGGGTGCGTCCGTGGTCTTCCATCTTTGTGGAATGAGCTGTTTCGCTACGTTAAGTATCCTAATGATGATTGATCTTTTATATCTGTTACTTGATGTAGTGGTGTGATGAAGGAGCATTGCAGCAGGGTCGAGGGGGAGTGGCTTATCTGCAAATATCTGTAGCATTCTGTGTATCCCTTGCCAGAAGGGTTTAACCCTTTCGCAGTCCCACCAAATGTGTATGGGGGTCCCCTCCACGGCCCCTCATCTCCAGCATTGTGCTGAGTGATCTGGAGACATCTTGTGTAGGATGTCAGGGATGTGGTACCAGTGTGTGAGTAGTTTGTATGCTGGTTCCTGTTGTTTGCTAAAAACTACACAGTGGTGTGCCAGTGAGCATATTTTCCCCCATTCCCTGTCACTAACACTATGATTCAGGGCCGCTTCCCATTTTCCTTTGAACCTGGGCTCCTCTACTGGGATTGACGTCTGCAGTGTGGTGTATAGGATGGATACCCCATAAGGGAGGGGCTCTGGGTCAAGGCATAGTCGCTCAAGTTCTGTGGGGGCGCGCCGTAGGGCTCTGCCCTGCGGTAAGGTCTTAAGGAAGCTTGTTAGTTGGGCGTATTTGTATACTTGCGTGAAAGTCGGGGTGTGGTCACCTGTAATGTCTGATATGGCCTTTCGGCCTTCCGGTGTGTATATGTGGTGTAGTCTGGGCAGTGGATCGGTGAGGAGGTCTCTGAATGCCAAGGGGTCCAGTCCTGGCGGGAAGTCTATGTTATATGTTAAGGGAAGCAATGGTGAAGGATATGGGGTGAGACCACATCGATCCGCAATCCCATGCCATACTTGTAGGGTAGTCCCTATGTATGCGGGCACCTTACCCCCCCCCCACCTTCTTGGCAACCATGGGGCGAGGGATTGGATTTCAACCATTCCAGGATTCGGAGGAGGTGGCATGCAACGTAGTAGAGGTGGAAATATGGCAGTGCCAGGCCGCCCCGTTCCTTAGGTTGTGTAAGTTGTGTATATTTAAGCCTGGGCTTCTTCTCGTTCAACACGTACCTCCCCATCACCCTACGTAGGGACCGGAAGTACACCTGCGGGATCTTTATGGGTATGGCTTGTAACAGATATGAGCCGTGGAAGGAAATTCATTTTGACTACCTGGACGCGTCTAAGCCAGGAGACGTGAGGGTATGACCATTCCCCCCATCCCTCCTGAACGCGGCCAGCATTAGGGTAACTTTTTCGGTGAATAGGTCCGAGCCGCTCTTAGTGAGCCAAATGCCCAGGTATCTGATTTTGGAGTCCGCCCACTCGAATGCATAGCTCTGTCAGCGCAGGGCCTCCCGTTGTTGGGGAACCGAGATATTGAGGATGAATGATTTTGTTAAATTTATTTTCATGTTGGATAGTGTGCCATATTCTCGGAAGGCTTTAATTATGTTCGGGAGGGAGATCTCGGGATTTGTAACGAAGAATTGAAGGTCATCTGCCTCTATCCACCCCCGCATGTGCGACCCCAGGCCCAGCTGTGAGAGGACCTTGAACTGATAGGTCCATCCGATCCTGTCGAAGGCCTTCTCCACGTCCGTAGATAGCAGGAGAAGGCCTCCGCTCCCGACCGGTCCCCCGTGGACTATTGATAGTGCTCTTATGGTGTTATCTCTAGCCTCGCGGCCTGGCACAAACCTCACCTGGTCCGGGTGGACCAGGGCTGGGATGTGTAGCTGTAGGCGGGTAGCCAGTATCTTCACCAGTAGCTTCAGGTCACAGTTTATGAGGGAGATAGGCCTATAGCTGCCACACTGTTCTCCGTCGCTGCCCTCTTTTGGTATGATCGTGATGTGCGCCATTAAGGACTGTGTGGGCAAGTGGTGTCCCTCTCTGATCACGTTGAAGGAGGCCAGCATCGGTGGGTACAGGTTCTCTGCGAAGCATTTGTAATAGCGGAGCGAAAAGCCGTCTGGGCCCGGGCTCTTGCCTAGTTTTGACGCTTTGACTGCCATCACCAGTTCCTCTGCGGTGATGGGTTCGTCTAGCGCTTCCGCCGTGTCCCTTTCTATGTGTGTGTGTGGGTTCGGAGGAATTCTTGTATCCTGATGAGTAAGTTGGCTTGTGACTGTTCGTCCTTTGGCCCTGGCAGAGAGTAGAGTTTTGAATAGTATGAGCGTATCACTTCCTGTATTTTGGTGGGAAGGCGATGTAACGTCCCTGATTTATCTCGTATCTTTTCTATGTATGTATGTTGTTTGCGTTTGGTAAGCATTCTCGCTAAGAGTTTGCCGCTCTTATTGCTATGTATTGCGAAAAATGTTTTATGCCGAGCTGCCTCTCTGTGGTGCCTGGCGTGTAGTAAAGTGGTCAAGTCTCGTCTGAGTTAGAACAGTTTTGCTTGTCGGTCTGGGCATCCGTCTCTTTTGTCGGATTAGTCTACTGCCTTTATGTCATGTATGAGTGCTTCGATTTGAGCCTCTCTTTGGCGTTTCAGCCAGGACCCTTTTTGAATTAGGTAGCCCCTTACCACACATTTGTGCGCTTCCCAAATAAGTGTGGGAGAGGTTTGGTCCGGTGTGTTTTCGGTGAAATAGTCTCCCAGTACCTTGCTGTCTCCGTCATGACGTCCGGTAGGGATAACATGTATTCATTTAGTCTTCATTTGGAGACCTTGGGTCTATATAGTGGGAATTTCAGATTATGTGAGACCGGTGCGTGGTCTGACCACGTCGCGGTTCCGTGTTCCACTGATCTCACCAGGGTCAGGTGATAGTGGGTCAGAAAAAAGTAGTAGTTGTGTGTAAGTGTTATGTGGGTGGGATAGAAACGTATAGTCCCTCTCATCTGGGTGGTGTGCCCTCCAGCAGTCCAGGAGCTGCGAACGTCTGAGGAGGGCCCTAATCTGAGTCAAGTGGGACCTTTGAGACTGCTGAGGACGAGTCCCATTTTGGGTCCATGGCTACGTTACAATCCCCCCCCAAAATCAGGATACCCTCTGTGAAGGACCGTAGTGTGCGAAGAGTACGGTTTAGAAACCTGTAGTGTCTCTGGTTGGGGACATATATGTTAGCGAAGGTATAGGTGATCCCCGCTATCATGCCCTTCAAGAACAGGAACCTCCCCTCTGGGTCAGTTAGTGTTGCCTCCTCCTGAAACGGGACCCGCTTGTGTAGATAGCCACCCCCCTCGATTTGCCTGCGCCATGGTTACTAAAGTATCCGGTAGTGAAGTGGTGGTCTGTCAATTTCAGTCTAGATCCTTCACGGAAGTGTGTTTCCTGTATATATACAATAGACGCTTTAGCGTTGCGAAAGTCTCTTAAGGCGCTTGAGCGTTTCTCGGGCTTGTTCAGTCCTCTGGCATTAATGGTAATGATATGGAGGTCTGTTGGTTGTAGTGACATGGTTTGGGTAGGGGATGAGGGGGAGGGGAAGAGGGAAGGTGGGGTAAGGTCAATTCACACACAACCAATATTCTAAGGGATTGAGATAAATTGATGTGAAAGTGAATTCTCCTAGCCCTGACTAATCGACCCTGGTCTAAGGCATTGCACTTGCTA